TTTATAATATACTCAGTTAAATTTAATTCTTAGACTAATGGCTAACAAACAATTGTAAGTTAGATTAAATTATATATTAAGTCTATTTATCTACGTAACATGTTAAATTATGTCTATTGCTACTAAACACTTTTGTCTGGACAATTAATTAAAATTGTTTTAGATAAGAATTCATTTCTAATGTGTATATATCTTTCTTTTTTAGCATTTATTTTCATTTCGAATAAAAAGTGACAAATACTGTTTTTACGAACAAAGGATGTGTTAACTGCTAATGAAATTGTGTGGTCTTGAGTTTCGTAACGAAATGGTTCGAACGTAAAGTGAAGATCATAAATATTTCAAGTATAGTGGAATATGTTTGGAATACAAATGCGTTTAAAGTTCGCCAAGAAATAGATGTGTATGCACACGAGGATACCATATGCGGCAAGTTTCTTTTACTCCTGTATCGAGGTACGTTTGTGATCGTTACGTGGAAAGATTCGATAAACAAGTATTCTTTATGTACAAAATCGTTCGATTTGAATACGAAAATTGATAAAATCTGATCTATCATCATAACAGACTTGGCCATATTTGGATATTTTTATATTTAGAATATAGAAATATTCCAATTTTTCTAAAAGAATCGGAAATGCATAAAATACTAAATAAATTTATTTTTTAGGTAAAATTTTTTGCAAATTATTTTTATATAATACACTATTTGCCAAAAATAAAAATTATGTACTATAAATTATTAAATAAAATCAATGAAAATAATTTTCATTGACTTATACTTTAAAAAATTCATATTTTAATAAAAAGTAATTTTCGTTCATCATTGGAAGTCACGAATGGCAAATAGAATTTCGCCCTACGTTTCGTTCGTATTGTCAAGTGAATTGGCTTGGTTCGACGAGCATCCTCGAAGGTATACTCGTTCCTGCAGGAAAGATAAATCCTTGGACGGCACACGGTATTTCTACGACCAATTTGAAATGTTCGTGACCAGGCAGGAGGAGACGGTAAAGTCCCATCCGACGGGGTCGATGTACTTCCGGAACTTGAAAAAAATGTTTGCGCGTCGCGGAGGTGAGAACCACTGGATTCCAGCGGATCGCGGTTATTACGTTGTTACAAGGTAGGCAAAAGCTTTGAGATTCATAGTTCTCTCACGGTTATGTACAAGATGATTTTCTCAAAATCTAGTCGAAAACAAATATAATAACTCTATGTTTGTAACAAACCAAATTTTCAACTTTGCTAATGAATAATCATTGTCAATTAAATAATGATTTTGATCTGTCTATAAATATCATTATATATGTAAAGGGTTGTAAAAATATAAAATACTATTTTTGAGTTTATTAAACAATTCTTTATACAGTTTGTGTATGTTATAAATACAGTCATCTTCATAATCATCATTGACGATCAGATGAGAGAATAGAAATTTTGATCTTTTCTTCGACGAATCACTGTATACAAAAAATTATCGTTACGTGATGGTATTGATTTCGAGATCAGTAAGGAAAAAAGTATCCTGTATACAATTGCAAATATAATCGTCTTCATTAAAAATAGCCATCATTATTCATTAATTGATGAGCATTATAGCATTGTTTTCTACAGAGAGGAATATTCTGTATATAATTCATAACATTTCAAAATATCTAATCTATATCAAAATAGTTTTTTCGAGTTTCATCGAGAGATAAAAATAGATTTAGATGCCATCAAAAATTTCCTCTAAGAAAAAAATGAAAGAAAAAAAATATAAAATATATATATATATTATAATTATTAAATTAATCGTCATGGTTCATACTCACAGATAAGTAAAAATGAGAGAATAAATACCAAGCATTGTCTTCAGAATCCACTTCAAGAAAGAATCATCTTGTACATCTGAAAAAGTTGTACTTTAGTCGGCGTCGAGTTAATTAAGTTTGCACGTCTACCTTTCGCGATCAGACACAGTGCACGAGTATACCGCCGATAAACTTCGAATACCGAAAGGATACATGAATTATTTTGCACCAATTGTTTCCCGTTTTTCTTACGATACCCGTGAGAATCGACTTTACAATCGGCAAATGGAATCAATGAATCACACAATGAATTTGAGTCCACTAGTATGTTAATGATCAAGGTGAACGATGATTTGAAATTTTTTTAAATAGTTTGAATAATTTTTTTCGCGTTAAAATTTGCAAAAAATTGATTATCAACTATTTTTTTTTTTTAATAATGCGAAAAATTCAAAATATTGAGTACCACTCATAACCTATAAAATGAAAAAATTTTCTGTTATTTGATATTTTTTAATGTGTCTATGAAACTTGATCTGATTTGTTCATTTTGATTCGATATTCGCAAAATTTACGAATTTACGATGAATCGTTTCACAAATTCTGTTAATTAATTAATTAATTAATTACTTTTCAATCAAATCTAATCGATATAATCGCTATGATCAGAAAGATTAACGAGAAATGCGATTTGCATTGGAAATATTAATTATCCGTGACTAAAAATTTCTGCACGATTTATAAAAAAGATAAAATGTATGCGCTATACAGCGAATTCAACAATTCGACAGACGTGTTATTAAGAGCTTTAACGTAGCATGCAATCACCGTCATTCAAATTAATTTTAATCACGTCTAATCATGACAGGCATGGATGCACGAAAATTACTTGTTCACTGTTCGTTCTGCTTCGTGTTAGCTCTTATAGGTGGCGATGATGTACATGAATGTGAAAAGTATACAAAAAATCACGATTATATTTACAAGAGAAAGAAAGGGAAATAGGAAAAGAATGTTCGAAAAAAATGAAAGAATATTTTTGCAATTATCAATATTTGATTGCAAGACAGGGAGATTCTCTATGACATGGCTAACAGTGAAAAAAATCTATCGTGTTAAATATAGTTGAATCTCGATATATCTTCCATCTAATAGTATCACAAAGAAGTCTGATATAATCGATTCTCAAGGGATGAGCTGAAATCTTTATCTTATTGATGTTTTAGTATAAAAATAGTAGAAGTGTATAATTTAGTTATTCTTACATTATCTTCGAATAAAAAAGAAATGGAACGTAATAAATTTTAATATAAAATATAAAATAATTATTATAAAAATACGAGAATTTAATTAAAAGTTTCAGTTTTTTTTAATAAATATAAAAATGATAAAAAACAGGATCTTCGAATATTAAATTAGTTTTAATAGAATAACATATTCAATTTTGAAATAAGGTTATTCTCGTTTGAACGAAAACAAAACTCTTTGAAATTTCCATGAACTATTTCGCGATCTAACTATCAAGTTTTTAGGAAGGATTTAATAGGAATGCATCGCCATCCTGCATTCCTTATAAATTAAATTTTATTTTTTATAATAAATGAAAAATTATTCCTTGTTTATCTAATAATAAAAAAAGAAAAAAGTAAATGATTCAGGAAAAATTATTGAAATTTTAGTCTTTCGAAGACCATTAAAAAAAGGATCTTTTTTTGATTAAATTAGATTTTTGGTTACTTAAAAAAATCTCTGATCTTAAAATCTTATTTTTCCTCGATAATCAAAAACTAGAGACTTATACATTTCTTCAGTTATCAAAGAAAAAACAAAAAAAAAAAAAAAAAGAAAAACGATGGGAAATCCCTCTGTCGGATTTCTATGATCGAAGGCAAGTTCGGGGTCGAACACCTTTTTGCAACGGCGATCTTCCAGGAAAGTGGCGCCTTTCTCGTGGCGAAAGAGGTCGTTGGAGAGGGCCAGAGCGGTGGCGGCGGCACCAAGCGAATGTGGAGTAGAATCGCATTACGAGCGGGCTGAGTAACGGAGCGGGCGCGGAGCAGAGCGTATCGCGTGTCGTCTCCTCGTTGACGAGAGCGGTGTTCTCGCGCGGAATATTCTTGCCGCTCGTCAGTCGCGTGCTGACCAGCCAACCGGTCGTTCCTATATACCACTCCAATCCTCTTCTTCCTATTCTCCGTCACAGAGTCAGCTGTTGTGCCTCGCGTTGTACCCATTCTTTCAAATTCATCACAGAAACTCATCGTAAAAAATTGTACAACCATTACGGATCTCGTGTACGTGATCGATTCTTTGAATTTCTATAAATCGAATTTATTATTTATCCTTTGGAAATTATTATTACTTTTTGAAATATATTATATAGAAGTTTTATTGTATTATTGGAATATAACTCTATCGATATTTAAAAATTAAAAAGAATCGAAACTAATTAAGACTTATACATTCTCAAGTTATACAAAAGAAAAACAAAAAAAAAAAAAAAAAAAGAAAAACGATGGGAAATCCCTCTGTCGGATTTCTATGATCGAAGGCAAGTTCGGGGTCGAACACCTTTTTGCAACGGCGATCTTCCAGGAAAGTGGCGCCTTTCTCGTGGCGAAAGAGGTCGTTGGAGAGGGCCAGAGCGGTGGCGGCGGCACCAAGCGAATGTGGAGTAGAATCGCATTACGAGCGGGCTGAGTAACGGAGCGGGCGCGGAGCAGAGCGTATCGCGTGTCGTCTCCTCGTTGACGAGAGCGGTGTTCTCGCGCGGAATATTCTTGCCGCTCGTCAGTCGCGTGCTGACCAGCCAACCGGTCGTTCCTATATACCACTCCAATCCTCTTCTTCCTATTCTCCGTCACAGAGTCAGCTGTTGTGCCTCGCGTTGTACCCATTCTTTCAAATTCATCACAGAAACTCATCGTAAAAAATTGTACAACCATTACGGATCTCGTGTACGTGATCGATTCTTTGAATTTCTATAAATCGAATTTATTATTTATCCTTTGGAAATTATTATTACTTTTTGAAATATATTATATAGAAGTTTTATTGTATTATTGGAATATAACTCTATCGATATTTAAAAATTAAAAAGAATCGAAACTAATTAAGATCAATAATTAATCAGATACTACCAATTGTATATGTATACATTTAATCGACAAATAGAATTACGTTACAAATTTGTTAATAAAGAATATCAATAATATATATATATATATATATAGAACTATTATATAAAGTGAAATAAATCGAAATCCAAGTTGATCGAGTATGAATGATTAACGAATAACGCGTGTGCGAGATCGATAGAATCGCAGGGTGGCTGTTGCAAGTTTCAGTGATCGATTGGCAGCGATAAAACCGCGTGGATCCGGTTAACTGGTGGAAAGGAGAAGAACGTTTGCCTCGCCCGCTTACATGAGTCCGATCGACGCTCGTTCCAGCTTGATGAGTCGCGTTCGGCCGTCTCGGATCTGAGGATCCGATCGAAGGGCCGCGCCATTGTTAACTGATCGATCTTTGAGCACAAGGGTGAAGAAAAGGAAGAGGCGCGCGCATGCACACGATGCTGAACGATAACGCGTGGAAGCACAGGCGGGTGCCTGTTCCGAAGAGGTGAGTTTTGTTTTCGATCGATTTCGTTTTAATCGATATTATTTCGTTGTTTTGTTTCGTTCTGAGGATTGTTTATTTGAATTTGTGATTTTACTTATCGATGAGATCGGTTAGAAGGAAATGGATATTGTCAATTTTCGTTTGTACGTTTGATTGATTATTAATTCTATGATTCGGATATAACCTCTCGGATATAACAAAAAATATTCGAACATTCTTTAAAATATAATTTGGCTTTTAAACTTTCCATATATAAAACAAATTGAAAAATATTTTAAGTTTAATATTTAAACTTTTCGCGAATTTCAATTTTAATAATTTTTCGATAAATTTAATTTTGAATATTCAATGCAACGAAATTTTAAAAAAGAAAACAGCTCTAAAATTATGATAATTAGTTAGTTGAGCAATCAAAAAATAATCCATTGAATATTTATCTTAATCTTCTGATATACGTATAAATGCATTTCAATTGCGCTCTATCAGAATCGAAACGTTCGATGAATCGCGTCATCGAGGTATAAAGCGTGAGAGTAGAGATCTCTCGTGCTTGAAATCGATTTATCAACTGGGTATTCGACGCGTTAAAATACTTAACTCTGGAATACCGACACGTTCGAATGCGGACTCCTGTTAATAGATACGTGTGTCCCTTTTGCTATTACTCGTGGTCGAATAAGTTGAATTTACAGTAGAGGATTGGCTTTTTCCTTCTTTTGACTCGGTGATTGTAAATTATTAACAACTCGAATAAACCTCTATCGTGAACTCTATCTGGAAAATACTCGTAGCTAAGGGACGAAGATGATTTAATAAAAACAAAAATGTCGATAGTATTGATTTGTTATAGAGAGAAATTGATTGAAATTTTGATGAAGTGTTAAGAAGAGAGAATTTTGATTTCAAGATTGTGATTGCAAATTTGTTTGGATGTATCACATTAATGTTTGATTATTGCAACAGAAATTTTTTAAGGTTAGATTTCATGTATATAACTATATAATAGAGAAAATTGTTTTCTATTGATATTGTGACAAGTTATTAGAATAATAAATGTTTAAAATTTGTGATAAGAATACGTAGAATTTTTTAATATTTTTAACATAAAATTGATTTAATAATTCAACGATTATTACAATTTGTTATAATATACGTATATGTATAATAGAATATTTTTGATAAACAGGAATTATAAATATATTTACAAAATTTATATTTCTTTTAATATTAATTAAAATTTAATTTTTTATTATTATAATTATTATAATTAGTCTTTTTTGAATTTCAGAAGACTAAAATATTAGATTTTAAAGAATTAAAATTAAAAAAAAAAATTAACAATTAAACTAATTTTAAACTTATTCTTTCTAGTAAAATAATTTATCTTTATATTCAATTAATACGTCTTTTAAAACTTGATGCGAATTATTAAAGGATATAACAGAAAGCCATTTAGAACGAGCCTTGTTCTCACGATGTCTACGATTTAACACGAAATCTTCGTCCCATTACCCAATGGATTCGTGCAGAATAATTATTCAAATATCGTTTAAAAAGTTTTCATCGAAGAGGAGAGATGGATCGAATATTCCTAAGTGACATTTAGATGCATCACTTTGGTAGGCATCGTGTAATGGATTGGAGATTATCTTACAAGAGCTTGTGTAATTACACAGAACAAATCGTGATCCATCACGTTGATTGGACATTGAAATAATGAGAATTATGGAAGAATCATGAATAATCGATTGACTATTTTGTCTTTTGGAAATTTGGATATTATTTTCTTTCGTTTAAAATCTCCATAAAAATTTAAAAGAAATTTTATTGAGAAACAAAATTGAAAAAAATATGAAATAACGTTAAAATGATGCTAGAAAATTGAAATGTCGTCAAAAACAAATATTATTTAGCCATTTTAATAAATTACTTTTTTAATAAATTAATAATTTAATGATTATTAAAAGATGACATGCGTAATCTTTTCTTTCGTTATTTAGAATTACAAAATTTTGGCATCATTTTAATATTATTATTAAAATGAAATTAGAAGAAGATAATATTGAATATTCTATTTTCTATTTTAATTTTTCATTCTATTTTTAATGGGAATATTATAATTTCTTTATTATTATTTACAGTGATATGAAGAAACCAAAATAAAATTGCAAAAGCATAAAAATATGAAAAAACATCATCTTTCGAAAATTTATAAATTATTAATTCTAAACGAATCTATAAAAAGGATGACATCATAAAACTGAAATAGAAATCTCGACATTCTTTTTTAACTAAATTTTTTCATCGAATTTGACATTAATTTATGTAATTATGTCGCTTCACAGTACTGCATCACAGTAACATAATTATTCTTTTTGCCATTTTTTTATTATCATTAGAATGTGAATATATTTGAAAAGTTCAATTTTCATTTTTCATTATTTTTATTTTTTTAAATATCTTTAAATCTTCAATATTTTCAATTATGTTATAAATTAAAATATTTCTCATCGAAAAATAATAAATATATACCGTCTAAAAAATTTAGAACAATGCAATTTCATTAAAGTCATTTCACTTGTCATTGGGGTTATCAATTTAAACGTTTAATTTCTCTGACTGGATTTCTCACGAAAAAAATCTACTTTTTTCCCATAATTGTCTTTGAAATATTCAATTCTCTCAACTTTCAATTAAATAGATTAAATTAATTACTTTTAAAATAGAACTATTAAGCTTTAATTTTTAGTATTTAGTAAGCAACTAAATTTTTTATTGATTCAAGAAATAAATAAAATCAATTAGAGCAAAACGTTTTAAACAATTATAAGATTATCTACATTCCTGCGACAAATTGGATTAATTGTACTTTTTCGTTTTACGAGATACTTTCCCGTAAATAAAAAAAATTTATATCTCTTGTTCAATTGAAGATCACCAATCTTTCAATATTTTAAGCAATAAAAAATATTAATTAATTTTTATTATTAATTTTTCTCTGTTAAAAAACATAATCATAATTAATAAATAAAACAAGGAAAAAGAAATTGTTTCGTAATAAAAAAAAGAGATAAAATTGATAAAACAAGAAAGAAAGAAATTTTTAAATGCACATAAAATATCATAGTACTAGAATTAAATTACAAATAAAACGAAAGACCCGATTCGTAATGAAAGTAACGGAATTCGTTTTCGTAAGTTGTTCCGATTCTCAATGGTCAATGACCAGATCTAAAGAGAATACGGCTGTTTTTTTTTTTATTAATTTAACTATTTACGGGAATCGAAAGTCGTGCATGGCGTATCAGTATCATGCAGGATGATGGTTTTCAAGGCAATATTATATACTATTATTACCGGGAACTCTCACTGAGTTGGTGAACGTGACGCCACTACATCTAAACTTTCAATCACGACCGATTCGTTTCACCGACATTGACCGTTTGCGTGTTTTTCACCGGATACGATTTTCCAACCTGTCACGATAACTTGTTGGCTAATTGCTTTTATGCTAAGATCATTTCTGGATATTAATAATTTAAAAAGGATATAAAAAATTTGTTTGCATTGTTTATTCTTTTTAGATTTAGGTTAGATACGAGTGAAAATATGAAGATATTGTAGTATATACAAAAATGTTGTATTATATTAATATTTTTTTAATATTGTAAGGACTAGAAAAAATAAGAAAGAAAAGGAACATATTATCAAATATATTTGAAATAAAAAATGAAAAATTTTGTATAAAATTTTACAATTTAATACCTTCAATATCATCATGACAGTAAAAAATTCGATAATTAATATTTCGCTGAATCAGTCTAACAGATCGAGAACGTCTGTTATAAATCGATGACGAGATTGCATCACGAACGAAATAGGAATCCGGAAAACTAAAACCACAAGATTGATCGGAGCATGATTTTTATCATTTGATCCGTGTGAATCTCGATGTAACTGAGTATAACCTTCCTTTAAAATGATTTGCTTTATGTTTTTATTTTCTTTAGAAAAAAGTATTATTTTTAATAAAAAAACATTATTATTAAAGTTTCATATTCTTAATATCTTTATCATTAGATTGCCAACAAAATATACGATCATAAATTAGAATTATTAATTTGGAATAAATTGAAACAAAATGAATATTTAGTAGTTTTTTAAATGTATTTATATCATAATTATTGTTAATTATAATAGTTTTAATATAATTTAAATTCAAACATAATTTAAAATATATTACAATAAATTTATTTATTATAAATTAATGTTAATGTTAACTATGTATTAATATTATATACGTAGTATGTACATACTATGTTACGATATATATTTGCGACGCACACAAAATAAAAAAGAATAAGACACGAGATAACGAATAAAAATTACTCAGTGCACAAGTGACATCTGTCATCGTTTAATCGAAATATATATATATAATAATCGCAGTTAAGATGTGTTAATAAAAATAAGAATTATTGAATGCAAAAAAATCACGATAAATTTTGTTTCGTTAAATCATAGAACAACAATGTTTTCAAATGAGAATATGTAGCTATTACTTTTTACGATATTGCGCGAAATTCATATAATGTTCATATTAAAGTAACTCGCGTGTCGACAAGCTAGTCTTGCGCTTTCGCGGTGTTCTAACAATCTCGCTGCCATTAAAAACGTGCGAGCCAAGCATTCGTTCGTTAAAAAAAAATAGTGAAGCCTCTGTGGTGTTTGCACCTGCGTTAGACACGGACAATTTTCCTAAGCAAGGAAAACGAATTCGCTTGTTATCTACGATCTTCTTACGGTAGTGGAAATGAAAGAAAAAACGAGGATGTGAGCGAATCCTGCAAATATATTTCACTGTGCTCGGAAATAATTTGTAAACAGTTTGTGGAAATAAACTGGGAAATATATTAAATCGTAAAAACTTGAGAATAAAATTTTTGTTAATTAAGAAAATGAAATGAAGAATAGATTGAAATTTGAATTTATCTATTGGTAATGAATTTTTGATTTTTTTTTAGGTTAGAATAGGTTTAGATTGCATCGATTTAATTTTTCGAATTTTGAAAACACGAGATGATTTTATGATCGATAATTATTCTTCAAACTCATATTGAAAAAAATTAAGAATCAATCCAAATGATAAGTTAAATATTTTTTAATCAATATTTATCTAATTAGCTTTATTAATTAATCCTTTTATTACGGCATTGTTCGTATCAAAAGCATTTCATTGTATAATGCTGCATATACAAGAAATATAGATAATTTATACACAAATTATCAATTAATCAAATATGAAATTTCTTTTCTAAAAATGGCTGACACTAAAGATTTGTATGCATTTCCATCACCATCACACAGAGTAATGTATGCTAGATGTTCTTAACCGGCGAACTACCATAACTTTTCCTCTGTTATACGTTCCATAGGCATGAAGAAGCGCATCCTATCTACTGTATAGAAACTATTCGGATGTCTAAGCGATCTAGACAATCATGCCAGGAGAAATGAATGCATGTCCAGATAAAAGAAAACAAGAAACGAACGGTATCGGTCGCGACACGCGGTGTCAACGACACACGAACATGAGGGAACCGTAAGCTCTTAGGACCATGGAATAACTTGGAATGCGGGAAGGGCCATCATGCATAATGAGGATATCTGGAAATTCAACTTCTTAACTATTCTCATGAGGTCTGTCCACAGTCAATTTTCGAGTTCAAGTTAAATTGTGTTACTAAATGAAAGTTATTGAAAGTTTTACGAGGTACAATAAAATCTCGTTAATCTAAACATGTAGGGAAACATAACCTAATTCAAATTAAAGATATTTAAAATTAAAATCAAAATTTTTAAACCTCAAAACTTTTTTTAATAAATTTCATACTTTCGAAACATTTGTTATTTTTGCGATTTAAAACTTCGAGAGAATCGCATAGTAGTTATAGGTTAGGAACATTCGAAAGATTTTTTAGAGATTAAAGATTTTAATATAAAATATTAAAAAAAAAACAAGAGAAAATAAATATTCTAAATTTCAAGAATTTCAAGTTTCAAAACTGAGTCGGAAAATACTTTCGAACAAATAAAGTGACGTTATGCAAGTTTCCAGTTCATTTAACAGAAAAAGATGCCTTCTTCTTGTTTCATCTTGACCATACAAGAAATCGCTTACCTACTGGAATTTCCGGCGGCCAATGATTTTTCTAGTTCACGAACCATTATGAAGTTACGTGACATATGCTGTCACGCATGTATGTCAATGTCCGATCGGCTTAAAAGGAACGTCATCTCGATGACGTTTCATCGATACGATGTAGACAGGATACTGCTTCTAAAAGGGCATCCTCAATGAGATGCAGAACGTTTATCGATCGCAGAAATTCAAACAGCCGACATTTAACGAGATTACTTCCTGCGCAGGAGGAAAAAGAACTCCTGACACGATGAATGGATTATTTTTCTATCAAGCCATCATGATTCGCTATAACTGTTAATAATTATAACGGATAAATGAAATTTATAGATTAGATCAATATCGATATAATAATCTTTATATTTTAGCAGTTGATCTATTTGAAATTTAATAAAGTTATTGAATTTATTTAATTAGAAGATAGAATAAATTCGTTTTTGGTTTATATATATGTAATTACATTAGCTTACACGGAAATTCATTCAACTTGATTTTAATAAAAAGTTGTAGATAGAGCATAATGAGTTATACATATTTATCAAGGATTAAAATTTTAATTAATTTTAAAATTTTTTGAATTTTTTAAACTGTAACTTGTAGCCAGCCAATTATTCTTTGACTTGTAAAAAATATTATTTATGCAAATTATTCTTTACCTAGGTTTTTTTATTACAGAGAGAATTTTGTATTACAAAAATAGTTTATTTATTATGCACAAGAAATATAAATCGGATTTATGTGGAAAGTTTTTTCAAATGAAATCGATATTCAAGATATTAAATAGCAATAAAATGCACGATGGCTTCACAGCAACGTCACTGAATTTTCTCTATGCGATGAAAGTCAAACATCAAAGGAACGATTCTTGAATTTTCCGTGCACGTACTTGTCGACAACGTAGAGAAAAGACACTTTAATTCATCGTCATTCTTCGGAGAAATTTCTCTGGATTCCTTATTTTACAATTATATTTGTTCCACAAAGTTACGAAGCAAATACCGTGCATGGAAGAAAATGCAGCAACCTACGATAACATCAAAAGTGCAATTTTGTGTCTCTTCAGTGGAGGTCGTCCTTTCACGGTCGACGAGGGATCGCTTGAAACCAGGTCGCACGTGAAACATCTCCGCGAACAGAATGATCAATTACGGGATAGATGACTTCGCTATGCCCTGTTTCCTCTGGCGACGACAACCCACATGTTAGACAATCTGTAACACGTCACTTTGGGGAAACAAGCATTCTCATCCGTTTTCAAATATTTGGCCGCTCTGCCTTTATTTGCTCGGCGGAAAGTCTTTTCTCGCGAAGTAATGTAATTTTATGTTTGACCGTTTTGAAAGTGCCAATGTAGATAGCAATTGCTTTTTGTTTACATTGTAACAGTGTAACAGTTGTAGGTAAAAGAAAGATACTTGGAATTGATATTAGCATTTTAAATGGAAAAAGTAATTGAAAATGTTAATACAAAAAGATCTAATTGCATTTTATTTTTATGGAAATATTTTCTTGTATCTTTTTGCGTTTCTTCAAATATTTTGCTATTTTCCTTTTATTTGCTTAGTGAAAAGTTTTTTCTTACAATAGTAATTTTATGTTTGACTATCTTGAAAGAAACAATGCAGATAGCATTTGTTGAATGTTCACATTGTAACAATTGGTAATTGAAAAGATTAAGAAAAGATAAAAATATAAAGTTTTTATGAAACTATAAAAATATTACATTGTGAAAATATTTTTTCATATTTTTTTTGTATCCCTCAAATATTTTGTTCTATTTTATTTATTTAATAGTTTTTTCTTTTGATAATAATTTTATGTTTTTTTTATTGGTTATCTTAAAAATGGTTGTAGAAAATTACTTCTAAGAGTCAAAAATTGATAATTTTTGTATAGAATTAATATAATCTTTTTTTTTTCTTTTCATTGAAACAACTATTTCATCCAATATTATTTTCAGGACGATCGAGCTAATCGCACTGATCGCCATTTCCAGCACTCTGTTCCTCTTTTTGCACACCAGAGAGCTACACTCGCGTCTACGAAAAATGGAAGTTCGCCTTCAACCTGGTGAAGACGAAATGTTGTCAGCGAATCAACTCTCATCTGGTGAGTTCCATTTTTTTCTATTTTGTTGAACTTTCTCTTACAATGTAATCTTCCTACGTATCCCTTTTAAGACTTGACATGCGACTTGAAAACGTTACTTTTGTTCAATCAATCAAACACATCCTGTGATACTTTATCAGTAGAACTATGGCATTCCAGATTCGAAAGTTGATTTAAGCGAAACCTCGTGATTATTTATATGTCGTAGAATCTTGACTTTCTCATGAAAAAAGTGATTAATTGACTTTGATTGATTGATTAGATTGAGATGTGTACTGTATTCGTAATAATTTTAATCATAAATTATTATTATATATAAGTGAAAATTAAATATTATGTTAAGATTATAAGTTGTAAATTTTAGAGTGAAGTTTATTATCTGTTTATTTTTATATATGTTTGTTTATTTTCTATTACAAAAATTAATTTATTCAACGTAATCACTTTGATGCATCGAGGTTAAAAAAGAAAGTTTTGATTTATAAAAAAAATTTAATATTAATTTGTTAATAAAAAATATATTCACGAATTTTTAAGAATCAAAATAAAAATTATTTATTATTTCCAACTTCATTAAATATTAAATACAGAATATCAAGAAATCAAAAGAATTATCAGACTTCATGTAATTAAAACAAACGTTAAAAAAGAGATAATTTTAATTGTCTGAGAAAAATGTTTTAAAAGATAAAAAATAACTCACAATGTTGCGCGTTCTCAACAAGTACTTAATTACAACTTCTAGAAGATCTAAAATTGTCAAGGTACAATATTCTCGCTCATTTTTCATGCTTCAACTAATTTTATTAAGTAACTAAATACTAAAGATTTCAAATTTTATACATATTATATTTTCCTTAAAAAAATTGATAAGCTTTTTCTTTTAAACAAATTTGAATTGAAAAAGGTTGAAAATTGAATATTATAAGTTGAGAAATTTTATCATATAACATTCTTTGATTGCGAATATCCTTGAAGGGAGGACTTCCCGGTTGAAGAAGGTCAAGGTGTGAGAGCGAGCTCACAAAGAGTCAAAGCACACGGTCGACGTCGGAAGAGTCGTTTGTTTCACATGTGCGTATATCGTTAGATCATTATCGTTTCAGCTCTCTTACCATTTTGCATTGCATTGCGAGATACATAACGGTATCGGGGCCCTCGTTTGCCCGTAACACGCTAATTAGCCGTATGGATCCTCCTCTTCTCGTCGAGTCGTTCTGATTCCCTTCTTAATGCGGCTACCGTTCCCAATTTGTTGCCTCCATCCTGCGATCAAGATCGATTGATCGTTTGTCTCCTTCCTGGTACTAGGAACAATTGTTCAGACATATAATCTTTGATAAGGTTAGTTAGGCTTCATAGAATGTTTTCCTTAATTCGTTATATTGAATATTCGCTGATGAAGTAGCAAAGCTAAAAAATTTTCTTTCGAAAGTCTTATTACGAATAATTTTTCTTTCTGTAAACTTCTGAATAATTATAACTTTATCTTAATTCATTATGAAATAGTAGGAGAAATTTATTTTTAAATAAATATTTTTATCGTTTTTTCTAGTATCGTTTTTTCTCAATTTATTATATAATTTATATAATTTATTATAAACTCGCTTTATAAAATAATAATTACAAGAAATCATATCAAATTGTGCGAATGTTTATATTGTATTAAATCCGAATTCGTATATTACGAGTTCTCGCTCGAAACCACCCGACTTTTTCCGACACGACCCGAACGATCGAATGTACTCAATATATAGTTTACTCGCACGTCCTTAATTGCTAGTCATTGTTCGGCAATAAGATCGTGTTAACCTCTTAACGTTTATGCATGTGACACATATATATAACTCTTTAAATAGAAATTGAATATTTTACAAAAAATTTTAGCGGAAAAAAATTTCAACTTTTATAGAGAAAAAGATTACGTTGTTATTCAAATAACAAAAGAGAGTTGCAATTCAAAAACATTATATCATATTTTTTTATAATATTGAATATGCGCAAAGTACATATTTTTCAATTTCTATCACATAAATTCATGTAAATGGAACTTTTTCTTCGTGTAAAGGAATATTTTTGTTTAAAGAAATTTATTTTTATGGTAGCCACGATAGGAAAAGAAAAAGTTGTGGAGCAGAGTTTTTGAAATAGCTCCGGGTTATAAATATTCATAATTGTGTCTGCCATGGAACGGAAAGATATTCAACGATCTTCTCTCGAGATACGTAACACTGACTGCACAATTTGTATAATTATTAGTGATATTCTATATAAGTGTGCGCGCACGCGACATACGAAAGCGTGTGATACGAGATATATATTAGAAATCGAAAGTGGAGAGTAGAAAGATGTTGATGGATTACTTTTCGTCCCTCGTGCTTGCAATCAGTAGCATATTCTATTGCATGTTCGAGTTGTAGATCATCGAACTTGTAGTGATGAGAATTGATAGATGTTCGAAGAATCGCTTTGGAAATCAGTTTGTACATTTTTTAGCTAGTCAACGATTAATCTTCTGTTGAACACAAATCATTGAAGGTTAATCGCTTGTACCTTAGATAGTTGTTTCTTAAGACGCAATGAGTGCATTAATATTCATTTCATCACGATATGACAGAGATTAGTGCTCTACATTATACTTGTTTATTTTGTTTTATATAATTTTTTTTTTTAATACAATGAATACTTTCATGCATTAAGTCAATTTAAAAGAATAATAGATTCAATAAAATGTGATATCGTTTTTGTAAAAATTTTGTCATAATTGTAAAAATTTTACAAAAATTTGTCCGCAATTGCAAAATAATTATAATATATTTATATGTATACATGTGTGGATATATATAACATAAATTTAAGAAGTGAAAATGAATGAAATATATCATCGAGATGAAAAAACGGATTTCACACAAATGTGAAGCATTCAGTTTAACTTTCATGTAAATGTAGCTTTTTATCGTACATTATATTGTTGCTTGGAGGGAATGGATGCATAGCTTCGCTCAAAGTTCATACCTCTTGACCTCATTTTCAGCGTTCTACTTATTGTCAATGAGAAGAGAATTCTTTTTTACCACATCTTTTTTATACGCCATTCTCATTAAGACAATTTCAAAAAATGAATCACGAATGATCGATAAGTGTATACCTAGAAGAACATTTAAAAAAGAATTCATAACGAAAAATATTCATTTGCAATGCAAAAAGAGAAGTGAATCGGTTGGAAAATAATTATTACGAATATTTATTTAAATTTATATTTTTGTGAGTATATCGAAAGAAATATTATCACTTGAATATATGAGTGTTATAATCAATATTTAAATTTGAATTTCTCTGAATAAATTTTGTATTTCATAAATTTTTAAGGATTATCGATTTCATAATTCAATTTGTAAATAAAATTCGATCGATATTATTAATATTAATAACGGAAAGGTTATGTCTAGGTTATGTTTAGCTAGCATGTTTACGAAGATAACGATTGATGGTGTATAATAAGATATATTGAACACGAACTACGAATTATTGTAGTATGAATTTATTAAGGACGCTTTTAAGATCGTGATATGGGACGAGTGTTCATTTTGAGGTTATGTATAAGCTTATGACTTAATATTACATTATGACAGGAAGATATCTATTATATTAAAATGTTAACAAGGATATAATGATATATAACACATAAAATTTATAATATTTATAATATATCGTGACTATGAACGATTATTCAAAAAATTCTTAAAATTATTCTATTTTTAATCTTAGTAATTTTTTTTTACTGATAAAATTCTTGGAGAAATCATATATAATATCAAATATGCAAAATAACGAAGATAGAGCTTTTAACATATATTTTGACTGGAAATTGTAAAAATTTTTATTTTTAAAAAATTATTATCCTATCAAAAGGATGTTGAGTCACGCGAAGAATATTGTTGGAAATTGTGAAACAATTACTCTTATGGAAAGATTTTATAACATTTTCTCTAAATAGCCTTGCTAAACATCCTTTATTCTTGATCCGATCGATCGTTCAGTTTCTATCATTAAAAAATTCACAAGTTTGGATTTACAACAAAGCAAAAATTTCACGATATTTTTCGAAAAAAAGAAAAATTAAACAATTTTTACAAAAACGAATATAATAATATTTTAAATAATTTGCAGCATCTTGAATATCTGTTTAATAAAATTAAATCGTGAAAATAAGAAGAGAGATCACAAAAGACCAACGAAATTCCATTGTCCAGAAAGTGAATTTCAACTTTATCCCACACGATTCGTAATAAAGTTGGAGCAATCATAAAAGAGAAAAGAATAAAATAAGAAAAAGGAAGAAAAGAAGTTTTTTAAAATAGGAAGAAAAAGATATCACGGTCGGTCTCTGCCCGATAGAAAATGGAGGATCTGCGAAATAATCCATTGCACAGATGGTCGAGAGAAGTGAAAGGAAGACGTTCAGGGATGGAATGGAAAATAGACGGAATGAAATATTTCTTCGCGATGGAGAAATGGATTAATGGCCCCCGTTCCTGCGTGTCTTGAATGAAAGTGGTGATTAGACTTTTTTTCTTTCTTTTTATTTGTTTTGTTTTTTTTTTTTTTTTTTTTTTTTTTTTAAGGCCATAAGAGGAGACAGGAATGAGCCTCGAATTTTGTATCCATGAGATGATGAAATTGAGAGGAAATGTTGTATATGTAGAAAGAAAAAAGATTGGTCGTCGAAAAAAGGTTATTAGTTTGATTGTAAAAGCGAATGACTGGTTTATAATCAACTATTACGATTTGTAATGTATTATAAAAGCTGTAAACAACATATATAAAATTCTCGAGTGAAAATACGACACGATAAGGCATAGGAGAAGATAAGATAAGCCTTGATTTGTAGAATTGAAACGAAATTGTTGGTATAAAGTAATAAGGATTTATCGTCGAAATGGTTTGTTGCTTCGATATAAAAATTGATTGGTTAATTAATTTCTTGTCAACCATTATACAATTTATAATTTATGAAAGCTATAATATTGTAACATCTTGAATAAAAGTATTTTTTTTTTTTCTATTTTTACAAGCCATAAAAGAAGATAGAACGAGATTTTCTTGAAGAAAATTGTCCTTTATTGAAAATCGTGCGAGTAAATATTGGCCACGAATCAAAAGAGTGTTGACTCGTTGTGCGAAAGTATGGGTGAATGGTTGTTAATTTTATAATTTTATAAAAATATAAAACTCGTAAACGACACGTCATTTCCTTTGCAATTCAATATAAAAAATATTTATTTTGTTCACAGTGTAAGATGATTTTTGAATAGAATAGAATAGAAAAAAAATTGGAATAGAAATTCCAAATTATTGGATGGTGTAATCGTTAAGTTCTCATCGATGCAATTCGTCGTACACAAAAGCTGTAAATTAATTGGCGCGATTAATATTCGAAAACTTTTTAAAAAGAATGGATTTGCTTGCGAAGTAATGGAGGAAAGAAACGGATGAATCTTCCTCAGTTCCAATTAAGATTGGAAAAGGAAAGGAGAATCGCTTTAATTGCATACGATCGAGTTGATTAAGCTTTCACGATAATTATGTGCCGAGATAATCCTTGAAGATAATTTTTAGTACGCTTTTGTCTTCATCATCAAGTTAAAACAAAGATGAAGTTGTGCGAAAGAAGGACAAATCAAAAGGAGAAGGCTGAAACTTGTATATTTTTAACAAAACAGTAGAAAGTGATAAATATCTTTATGTTTATAAAAAAAGAAACAAAATCATCAGTATTTGTATATATATATTTTCTTTAAGTGACTTGAAAGTAGAGAGGAAGATTTCTAAAGAAAAAAACCTGGAAAGTTGATTTCTAAGATTATGAAAGATCTCTTCATAAGTTCAATTGTATAGATATTTATTGTACTCAATATGTGTATTATGCATATTATGTATTATGCATATATTATGCATCCTTTTTAAATTTTCTCAAATTTCCTTATAAAAATATATCATTGCTTAAAACAAAATTATTTGTATATAATCGTAAAAAAAAAATTACAATCTTCTCGTAACTAATCTCTTTTAAATTCATTTGCAGTAAAGAAAAATCCATATGAAAGATAGTCATCGAATAAAAAAAAATTATTCGTATATTTTTTTCTCGCTTAAAAATTCCAAGTAATCCTCGTTAAAATAGTTTAATTGAATGGTTTCGTCTGAACCTGAACGATGATCAGAGGCAACGAAAACGAAACGAAATCCATCAACATTGAAAGAAAGAAAGAAACTCGAAATTCTTACGAGATAAATCGAACAAGATTAACGAGGCAATTTTCGCTTGTCCGCGAAGTTACGTTCGCACCTCTCGCTCACGATACCAATCACCGAGTTCACAAGTGGTAATACGTCCGCTTGGTGTGCGCTCCTTCGTTCACCCTGCCCTTTTCACGGCCAGGATCAAGATCGAGAATGAGCTATGGCCTCCTGTTCTCGATCGTGGATACCATTCGAACGCGGAAACGGACGCTACCTTTCCACCTATCGTTTCTTCTTTCTATTTCTCTCGCTCTTCTTTTCGAATTCTTCGTAATTTTTTTAAGAATATGAAGAGTTGGAAAAAAAAATCGAAATTTTTGCTATTTTTGCGATTTAGAAATTTCGAAATGTAAAAGAATTGATTATAATTGAAGAATTTTGAAAATTTGGAAATTTTTTTGAAATTCAGAGTAATTTATATTTTTGGAGAATTTTTTAGAAATTTTCAGAATTCAGAGAAAGAATAATTTATATTTTTAGAGAATTCTAGAAATTTGGAATTCTGAAAATCCAGAAAAAGAGTAATTTATATTTTTCAAGAATTTTAAAATTCTTTATTATTTTTGCGATTTAGAAGTTTTAAAATGTAAAGGAATTAATTATAGTTTTGGAGAATTATAGAAAATTAGAATTCTGGAAATTTAGATAAAGGATAATTTATATTTTTGGAGAATTTCAAAAATTGACGTTTATTAAGATTTTTGCTCTTCATAAAACAAATACTACCTGAAAGAAAAGAAAAAGGTATAAATTTCAAGAATTCCGAAATTTAAGAAAATTTTATATTTTCTACGTTAAGAAATTCGATTATTACAAACGTGAAAAATTCACGTTTCTCTTGGCTATTATTTTGTGTAAGCGAACATAATTCTTGAAATGTCTGCAATGCGCGACGTGACTTCCTCGTAGTCAAGTTCAATATCTAAGGGATATTTTATGGTGTGTCTCTTCGCAACGGAACCTCATAAATATATCTTAACCGTGGCATTCGCAATTTAATTGCAATCAATATTATTTTTTTTCACCACGTATTATAAATTCAAAAAAAAATTCATCCATCTTTGAACTATATTAAAATATTTATAATTATGAATTATAGATATTTAATAATCCATTTTTGAACATAATTAAGAAAGTTTCGTTTGTTCGATAAAATTCTTCATTGTTATCCAAGAAAAAAAAATTCAAAGATTTTATTCGATTTTCTATTCTATAACGAATTAGCGGTTTTACTTTCTATCGAATTAAGAAGTTTGTTATTAAGTATGTTATTAAGTATCACAGTTCATTGTTTTCAAGGTTTCCATTGTTTTGAATATGAAACAGGATGAAAGTTTAGAGAGTCGTAATTTTCGACGATTAAAACTAAATGTGACGAATTACATCTCGATATCCAGAAAAAAAAAAGAAATGTTTTCCCTATTTACTTCTAATTTCTATTCGCTTTTTTCCTGATCAAACTTAATAGCTGTAACTTATTGTTAGGAACGTAAACTCGTATTTTCTTCTTTGAAATGTTAAAGCAATAATTAGTCATGGTTTATGATAATTCTCGATAATGATTCTTTGAGTGGTAAATTAATGCGAAAATTATGCATAATTGAGTAATTTTAATTAGAAAATTTCCCGTTAGTGAAAAATTAACTTAAACTCGTTCTATTAAAAATGATTAATTAAGGATATTTTAAAAATAATATTTTATCCTAGATTTAACAACAGTCTGAATATTTTTCCAAATCACTTCTTTTTTATTCTTATTTATAATCACATTGCTTACATTAAATCGAATATATTTTTTAACAACTTCTATGTTATTTAAAATTTTATCAAAGATCGAAAATCTTTTCCTAATATCATAAATATTTTCACATATTTTTAAACAAATAACAATATTCATTCTAAAAATTATGCTATAATTCGTCAATCAAAGAAATTTAATTAGGTTATGTTAGATTAGGTTACATTGAAAAACACTATTTTAATACATGAAAAACATTTCTATTGCTTTATTTTCATTTTAGACGTAAAACGTATAAATCGAAACACATATTCAAATTAAAAAAAAATATATGCACATATACAAAAATAAAAATGACACTATGAACTATAAATATCGACGTTAAGTGAATTGGTTTCACTTTCTCTTTCTTTCTCCGTCTTTCTCTATCTTGTATTGAGAAAAATATTAGCGATAAAAATAGGCAGAACGACGATTTAAGAGTCGAGGAAACGAAGGGACAAAGAACTGGTAGTATCCGCTGGGAATCTCATTGTTCGTTTTTATGAAAGAGGTCTCGAGTATATCATGGAAGCGGACAATCGCGGTTTTGCAATTCTAAAAGTGTCCACGTGGTTCGCCACGAATCAAGATTGCGGATGGACGGTTCACGATCTGACAAACGACACAACGGAAATGATCGTGCTTCCATTGCTTTGCAATTCCAACTACTTATTTTCCATTGTGCGTTATTATCACCGATAGTTTCTATGTGGCTTACACGATCGCAAGGCGAGTTTTCACGGCCATCGCCGTTCTGCTCAATCTATTATCGATCGAAAAAGTATTCGAATCGTTTTTTCTGGCAAATAATATTGTGAATAATAATAATAATGTTAGACGATAAAAATATGTAAAATATGTTTGAATTTGTTATTATAGTATTTTTTGATCGAGCTGGTTTTCATAGTTATAATACTATGACTTGTGTTTAATTTATGCAAGATGGAGAAAATAATAATAATTGATAAAAATATGTAAAAAGGTTATATTGAATATTCTTTGTATTCTATGTAAAGAAGGCTTAAGCTTTTTGTTCTTTATATCTAGTTTCTATCGAATGATCAAAAATGAATTTCAGCCAATCATCGATCGATGTAACACTCGTTTTCTTCATCATTCCAATTAACGCTTAATAATTAAATAAAGATATATAATTAAAAAAAAATAAATCACAGACTAATACAAATAGAAACGTATTAACACGTCTGATCATAATAAACTTATTCTCCACTTATTCCATTATTCATCTCGTGCCCAGTGATGGGCAAAATTTAATTGTTGAAATTACTTCGGTAAGTTACTTCAATAATTTATGTTCAAAATATAATAATAACCGCAAATAATTATTATACGAAAAACGGATCATAACAGGTATGAATAAATGTTATTCAAACATTTTAAAAGTAAACTTTATTTTTAAAAGTAAATTTATTCGAAATTTTTAACCAGTTACTTTTTTAATACTTTTTATAATCTCTTTTGTTCACAGCACAGAAGTCTCGATAATGAAATGTTAACGAGATTGTCACATACGTTTTTTAACGATAAATTTCTATTTTGTTTTATATGCGATACTAATAAACATCGAATTTAATTTGACATCGAACGAAATTTCCACACTTTTTTGAGAAGAAGAGTGTAAAGAAGATCTTTCTTGACACAATATCATCGTCTTGCGTTTATAATACTCTTACATAAAGGATGTTAAACAGTTGTGCTCTTTTGAGAGAACGGTATCACGATTAAACGATAGCTAAGCTGAACGATATTTCACTTTTCCGAGAAATTAATCCCCTCGCGTAATTACTGCGATTATTTGTACGCTGCGCAGTCCAATTTCGTCTTATAACAGTATAACGATATTAATTAAATCTCGATACGTATAATATAATCTTCTTTAATAACGATTTTCTTTACCAGGAATGTTGGATATTAACATTTAAAGAGTAACTTTCCACATTTTAATTGCCAAGGAACGAAATGAAATCTTGATATGATAAATGTATAATTCGTGTGTATAAATAAATAGGTTTGACCCACTTTTTAACTCACGATAATTATAAAAATTGCGAGGAGTTTCTATTTGTTCCTGACTTCATCTTTCTTCGTTTCTGAATTCGCCATTTTTAATTATTTCAAATTACAGGAGGCGGTAAACAAAACGGTATAAGATCGTTCGAAAATTGCGGAGAAGTCGCAGTTATCGTATATTTTATTAATTAATGGACATGAGATAACGATAAATATCATAAGTTTGTAATTATCGTTAGCATAATAGAATATAACGCCGAGCTATTACAAAAGTCTATCAGAAAGTCGTGATTCTCATCTTCATTATTTAGAAAAAAAAAGAAAAAAGAAAACTCTCTCTATCGATCAAATGGCAAACTTCCATCCACATAATGAATTTTCTCGTGGAACACATTACGATTCAAAAGTTTGAAAGTCTTTTCTCCTTGTTAGTTTCGCAACTTAAGAAGAATATTAAAATAATATTTTTAACGAAACATCTTATCGAAACTCGTTGATGATAAAAAATACATATTGAAAGAACTGCATTTATATTATTGGCTTAACTTTTTCTTAATTCGGCCAATCGATAAATCAATTTTTCGACGAGTTCACTCGATTAATTTTAATAATAATTATCAAGTTCCATCTACTATCTAGCTTAAAAACAAATTCTTCCAATTACATTATACACCAACTAAGAAGAAAAATTAACTTCTCGACAAATAACTTAATAATTTTAATAACAATTCCACTATAGCTTATCTTACCTTATTAGAATTTACAAATCTTCTTTCTCATTACAGTATATATTAAGAAGAAAATTAGGAAGAAAAATTAACTTTTCGACAAGTTATTCAATTAATTTTAATAATAATCACCAAGTTCCACCAATTTCCACTGTATTATCTATTCTAAAAACTTTCTTTCTAATTATGCTATATACCAACTAGCTAAGGAGAAAATTAAAAAGGAAAATTAACTTCTCGACAAGTAACTTAATAATTTTAATAATAATTCCACTATAATATCTTACCTTAAGAATTTACAAATCTTCTTTCTAATTACAGTTACATATCAAGAAAGCTAAGAAGAAAAATTAACTTTTCGACAAACTCGCTCAATTAAATTTGGTAATAATCACCAAGTTCTACCGTAAAAGCCTTCCTTCTAATTACACTATATCACCAAGAAGAAATATTACCTTTTCGACGAACTCGCTCAATTAATCCCAATAATAATTAACCGTGCCATTCTAAAAACTTACAAACCTTCTTCTAATTAATTACACTGTATACCAACTACTCGAGCTACGCACTTCTCACGATCTCTCCTGGATCATCAACCGATCGCTCAATGATGGTCATTACCACAGTGTTTGTTTTACAAGCAACCAGGGTTCACGTTCCTTTCGAATGGTTGAATGGTTCGTTACGCGGTGTGTCGTTAGCCGATATCATTCCAACGCGAGAGCGTGCCGATTAATTAGAACGACGAGATGATCCACTCACGCAGCATGGAGAAACGAGGAAGCGAATCACTCGAGGATGATGTGGAACCAGGAAGCAGCCGGGACGATACGATCAATGCCTGATAATTCCGACGGAACGGTTCGCCTCTTCGATCGTTGAAAACGAGACCTCAATTTGCTTCTTGCTACGTGTTAATAGCTTTTTCTGTAATGGCTTTCTCGGACGGTGTTTAAGGAAAAAAGGAGAATAGGGTTGTTAGCGTTGATTACGTGGGTTTGTAATGGTTAATTGTTAACATTAAAAGAAGAAGTGGGAAGAGATTGTGCAGCGAAAGGGAAAGGAGATTTTTCATTTTTAGAAAATTAATATAGGGAAAAATTAAAGAATGCGATAAAAGAAATGGTATATTTAATAATATAATAATAAAAGATCGAAGATATAATCAGTAATGTTACTTATTGTTAATGGATTCTTATATTATATAACTTCCATTATATAAGACGAAATAGGCTCTTTCATTTTTTTTTGGTGAATTTCTATGTAATATTATTTATACTGATTAAACGAAGACACGTTGTATACGTTTCTGTTTGAACGATAAATTTCTATATTGTGTTTTATATGTAAAATGAAAAACTGACATGATGTACTTTGGCGAAAATATGATGATATACTTTTGCTTAATATGACAATGACGTCATATTATTCCCACTGCTGTTAGATACATCACGTGATACAATAGACGCTTAGCATTGGTGGAAACTTGATCACGTGACGTACTTCATCTAATTCAGTAATATCCATGGGGATAACGTGTCGACGCGTATTATCTTCCTGTGGAAATTCGTAAGAGAGAAATCGAGTCATATTTAGTAATAGAGATTACAGAATACTATTTTCATTCTAATCATAGTCTGATCTCTAGATTTTCGGTACGTTTTATTTTTATTTGAAAATACTGAAAGACGAAAAAAATAACTAGGTATGGAATAATTGTTATATACTGTTTCATATATTGTTAGAAATTAACAAATTTACTTGTATTTGAAAAATTTCTTCTCTGATTATAATTTATGAATCGCTTGGTTCATCAAATTCATTCATCTTGTGAAAAACATGCAAAATATATCTAATACGTATTTGCATAAAAATCCTATCAATTTAATGTTAAAAAATAAACAAGAGGATATTTTAAATGTGAGTATGCAATTTCAAATTTTTGATCACGAGTCCAAAGATCAAATTTCAAGCGAGAATTTTTTCATTTGCTCTGCCCATCGTCGAACATCTATCTTCAGGGCATCCTCCTCGGTCTGGGAAAAGCGTGTCGAATCAGAAACAGATTGCATCGAGGATAGAGTTTCCATTCTTCGCCTGGGGAGAGATCTGATAATCGGTATTAACACGGATCAGATCGTATCTGTTTCGATACTCGTCCAACAGATACAAAGTTGGTGCAGATGCGATAGTTATTATGGAAATCAGAATATCATTCGTAATTGAGGAAGTGGCTCATTTTCTCGAACGTTCGAAGAAATTGATCTGTGATTAGTATTGCACACGTGAGCATAGAACAAATGAAATGTTTATCGGCCAATTATAAAACGTATCATTGGAAATCGCGTTAATAACGATCTCATCTTTTGTAAAAAGCGTTCTTATACGAGATTTGTACTTTTCTAACTCGTTGAAAACCGTGATTGATTTCCGAGTTGAAATTGTTTGATTTTTATCATTAATCGAAAGGAAAAGCGAATGGAATAATTTACAGGAATAAATTTTTTTGATTTTATTTTGTGTATTATTATAGTGTTATATTGTAGAATTATTATACATCATAGATATTGTATATACGTAGAAAAAATAACATTATGATGAATTTATTAATGACGAATAGCATTATATAAATTTTTATATTTATTATTTTACTCAATAAGAATAATATGAGGTTAATGTAATTATTCAAATTATTCAAACGTAATACATACTCATCAAATTTTGAAAACTTTTTAAAAAATCTATCAATCAACATACCGAATTTATGTTCCTCGTTTCATTTCTTATTTACGTTTAAAAATTTCAATAATTCTCAAATAAATTGAATATATATACACCAATTCTCTACAAAATCTCAATTCATCGAGAAATTTTCTATTTTTTTGAATTTTGAATCGATTCAGAATTTTTCCAGCAATATATATCATTTTTACAAAACCGAAAATTTATTTTTCTCGATCCATGATCGATTTAAGATTTCTACCAATTATCAATAATCTACCAGTATCAACTATCTATCGATCCACGATTGATCTAGAATTCCTTCAGAAAAATATAATCATCTACCGATTCTTGCAACATCTCTCACCAATCATCCGCAACAAAATTTCAAATTCCTTGATGAAATTTATTTTTTTCACGATTCAGAATTTTTCCAGCAATATATAATTTTATAATTATTCACAATTCCTCCAAGACTAATTACCAATCATCTGCAACAAAATATCAATAAATTCGCCAAATTTTCGCCTCTATTTACTTCCCTCTTCGAGCAATTCCATCGAAGGATTGCAGAGAACGCGATAAATCGAAAAGAAGGAGATTGCGATTCGTCCCTAGACGGGAGCGCGAAGATGAAAACGATCGAGGCTGCGAGCGGTTAGTTGAGGCGAGAGGTATAGAAATTAATGGTCGATCGGCCTCGTTTCGCGATATGTTCAAATGGGTAAGAATGGAAAGCGAATCGAATACTGACCATTCCTCGTTTTCAGTTCGAGTTCTTCTTCCCTGTGTTTTGCGGCGAGAAAACGTGCATCTCGCTGGCCACGATCTGCCCTTTAGGCTATCACGAGCCCGCGTTTTTCCAGACCTTTGTCGTTGCCACGTATGTACGGGAAGAATCATATTGCTCCGTTTTCACGAAACTACTGACCAATCTGCTTCCAATCGTCTTGCGCATTGCGCGAGCATTAACTCTTTTACGAAGAGGCGATCTTGGATGAAAAAGAAAAGTCGAAATTGTGTTTGCAATAGTGGAAAGAATTTTGTTTTTGGTCTTCTAGATTTTAAAATATGTACGTATATATTTATATATATATTTATTTTATTATATGTTGCAGTGATTCATAGTTTGAGAATTTGATTCACAAGATAAGTGATCGTTATTTTACTTTATTTTATACTTTAATAATTATATTTTGTATTATATTTTTGTTTTTTCTTTCGTCTTATTCTAGTTGATTCTTCTTTAAAAGAGATCGTATTGCAGTGGAAAAATTGGAATTAAAAATACTTGTCATTTTGAGGTTATATGCACGTACTTATATATTTATTTTATTCTTGGATAAGGACTTATATATTTATTTTATTTCATAATTTGAGAATTTATGATTCACAAGATAATTGGTAAGTGATTTGAATTTTCATTAATCAAATCTTTCTGACTGATAATTACAAGAAATCGAAATCTTCTTAACTCAAATCTTACTTTTTATTTCTTCTCAAGTTATAAATTATCGAATTGAAGCTCGATTGTGATATTTTATATAACGATAATGATATAAAATAATAATTTTACGACACATTGCACGAAGGATCATATAAAATATAACTTCGTCAAATAATAAAACAAGGATTACGGGAAAGGTAAATCTCTATGAAATTATAATCATTTTCGAGGTGTTATTCGAACAGTTCCACGAAACTTTCGGAATTCATCCTTTTTCGTAGTTCCAGATGCTCGTAAACATTGGTTTATAGTTTTTCCCAGGACTTTGGTCGGACGAGACCTTTCGTACCCTTTTATGGCCACACCATTATCATGGAATCTTGTAAATGTTTGAACAACCACCCCAAAGAAGTTCTACCATGTCGCGGCGGCTATCGCGTGGCTGCATGTGGAATATTTTAGTAACCAGTATAGAGACATGAAATAATTCGCTTCGAATTCGTAAGAAATGCACAGCCGATATGCTCGCAACATTGGTTTGTTGGTCGGTCTGGTTCATTAATCTTTTACGTGGAAAGATCGTTTGGCGATTTAATGAGTAACGACGTAATGAATTTCTTAATTAAGAGATTTTTGTATCGAATCAATTGATTTTTGCCAAGGACGATAAAAGACGAGAATTTTTAAAGATGAAAGTATAGAAAAAAAATTGTGAAAAAATTGTTGTTTTTGAATTAATAGATACTTGCTAATTTTAAACCTAAGATTGTTAACTAATTGTTAGGTTTGTATGTTTGGAAATTTCCAATTTCTATTTTAACGTATTAATTTAATGTATTTTTCGCAATGTATTTATCCTTTTTAATTTCTATTTTTTAATTTTTTTTAACAAATTTTTTATTGATTAATGAACTTTAATATATAAATAATTTTTTTTGAAATATTTTAAACTTTAACGAGATAAAATTATTTTCAATTTTTCAATTCTTCACGCATTTTAAATTATAAAATCTTCAGAATTGAATACTCTATCAATAGAATCTCCAATAAAAAAAAATTATCTATTATACATACACATTTTACATACACATAAACTTTCATTAAAATTAATACTTTTAATTATATCAATTTTTTTATAAAATAATATACAAAAAACTTTCAATTCTTATTGTATGTATCTATATTTTAAGGATAGTACCAAGAAGAATAGTATATCTGTTTCATCTTCTTTTTTGAACAAAATCGATTTTATCCATTTCCAGCATGTTCTTCCTCTTTCCAACATATTTCTTGCCGCGGAAATGGAAGACAGATTAATGCTATGGGATCTCGTTAGAGACAACAATGGTGTTCGATACAATTAGCTTAGAAGCTGATGTCGTGCATCGTTGGACGATGGATGGAATGCGAAACGCGGAAACGAAACAACTAGCCAGAACCTATTAATCGTGTCCTTCGACTCTCGTCACATGTAAATTACAGTGATTAAAGTCTGCATGGTTAACGAACCTTGAAGAGAGAATTTACTGTCTAATATGTGGATTCTTGTGCTCGTGTCGCATATAAGAAATGTCCTTGCAACTTGATTGCAAAATCGCAACTAAATAGTTCTAATTGCGGATCTAAATATGGTAGACATTTTGATATTTTTGTAACAAAGAATACAAATATTGATAAGCGATATGTTTAATAATGAAAAATGATTATTAAACTTCATCGAAGTTAATTATTTGCTTTTTGAAAGTTTAAATATTATTTGTATATTATTGCTCGTACATTTTGGATTAAATTGTAGAATTTTATTTGAAGCAAGAGAAGTTGAATTGATTAATTTCATCGAAATTAATTATTTTCTTTTTGAAATATTTAATTTCCAAGAGGCTTATGTAACGAAAAATATGAAATGAAGCTTATAGCTTGAAAGAGAATTATTTTATATTTATAGAATACTATGATAATTATTCACTAATATTCGATCGAAACTTTGATAAGAAATTAGAATTAAATAAAATATTTTTAAAATAGACTAAATTTCAAACAAAATAGATGAACTGTACATTCAAAGAACAAAATGATTCCATTCGGCAAGCAACGAAACGGAATATGAAGTTACGCATCGAGACTATATAAAATTTCGCCATCAAACCGAAGCACGGTTCCTCTCCGCATTCCTGACACACATTACCAGCAATCGATCGCGTGTCTCGAGCCGTGCACCGGAATACGTCCAAGTCTCTCGAAAGAATCTCCGTAAGCCTCTCGATCGCGACCTACATATTCCATCTTTGTAATGTTCGAAAGTTGTCGAACGACTTTTTCCAATTTCTTTTTTACCATGATGCTTCCTTCTCGCATGCGTTACATAAATCGAACAGTTTTCTCGATATCGGGAGAATACGAAGATCAAGCAATCATTTTGTAAACTAACCTTAAACTGTTGATCCACGGTTATTGAACCGCAATAGTTGGCTATATAGAGTCTCAAAATAAGAAATTATAAGCTTAAATGTTACTTTTTGAATGTCAATTAATTTTTTTTTTTTTTTTGATTTATTAATATTCGTAAAATTATCGTAAGGTTAAGTTATATCGATTGTGGTTAGTTAATATTTAGATGAGATTCAGTGATGGAGATTCAGCGATGGAGATTCAGCTTAAAATAGATGCTCTATTATATAATCGTACCAAATGATACTGATTAATAATAATCAAAATTGATAAGCTACATTGGGCATAGATTAGTATTAATTGTAAAATAATTAATTATTTTGGAATATAGCGTATTGTTGGTGGTAATTTGTAATCCATTTAAAACTACAGATCCATGATTAAATGAAAATTAAATTAAATTATTAAATTAGATTAAAATTAGATTAAATTGGATTGCTAAAAACTATACGTCAGATAATTATTTTAAGATAATTCGTATTAATGATTCGAAAGTCACCTTAAATTATATATCCTTTATTAACAATCACAGATATTGATTAATAATAAAAATAATAATATTAGAATAATTAACTATTTTAAAACATTTATTAGTGATTCGAAATTTATTTTAAAGTCCTTTATTAATACTTATTAACAATAATAATAACAAATACAATTAGGTTATATTCAATACGAATAAGCACAATATACCATTAATAATTCTCGTCTTAAAGTGTACCTTTCTATCTAAATAATCGTAACAGTTCACATCAATCAAAACAAATAAATTAATTTTCTTCCATCTCTATCGATCAATTCAAACTTTCATTGGATAATTTCGCCGAAGGAAGCTCGCAAAGGTTGGAAAACCAATGTTGGAAAACCATGTTTTGTACAGTGTATTGTAATCTCGAAATATTCAAGCATTCGGTGGAGATGAAAGTTTGTGCAATTTTGCCAACCGTCACAAGCAATTAGAGCGCAAGATCGTCTTGAGAGGAACATTCGCGTTCTTCGAGTCGCTTTCCCAAGTTCTAGGTCACCGGGTCTCTCCTCCATCTCCTCGACTTGAACCAAAACAGGAGTAAAAGGCTGTCCGGCCGGTCTTCCAGATAGCGTACGAGCGAATCCAATCGCTCGTATTGGTCTGTTTTTTTTTACCTTTGTATATCTACCTTTTCACCGCTTGACATCCTTTTTCCGATTTTCTCGCGATCAGGATTTATGCGTATCTTTCTTTTGAGTGAATTGTATGCAGGATGATTTACGTGACGACATCATTTTTGATCAGTCGTTTAATTTTTGATATATTAAACGATGCAAATGATTGATATATTTAATCATAACATTAATATTTATAGATAAATACTTAATTATCTATCTTGGGATTTCGATAATTTTTCAATATATTATTAACGTCATCAACAATTGAATAATGTTGGGAAGATTTTAATTGGCAGTCATTGTGTACCAAAAAAAAAAAAACAAAACAGTTGTTCTTAACATTCAGACATTTTAGGTTAGGTTAAATGAGATAAGATTGTTATTCAAGAATTTTTAGAATGATATACTTTTGTAAATAATTATCGAAATTAAAAATATTTCATCAAGCTATTTATCATTTTTCTTTAAAAACTATATTAAAGATTATAATTAGAATTTCCATAGTAAATGAACTTTTCACTTTTCGAAAGTGAAACTTGTCCAGAATTTATAAAGACAAGAACGAAAGAGAAAATACGTACATGTGTAAACGAATTTGTAAATATGTTCTGGAAAAAATTACAACTTTCCTGGCAGATAGACAATCAATTCAACGCGAAAATTTAAACAATATATCATAAAAGTGCTTTTACATCGTCGATAATAAGCTTTCTCGCGTTTTGTTTGTAGTTTCTCTAAAACAAACGATTCTATTTTCCTAATACTGTTTACAATATAATTCTGTACGAATTTCTTCGTTGAAAGAATTAAAAATATTGTTTTAATTTTCTGTTGTCTTATGAAATTGGAATTGTATCAAGCAAGATTTCTGCAAAATGATACACCATATTAAACAAGTAAATGTAAGCAATCAATTGTAAGCATTAAAAGAAAAAAACAAAATATTTTGTTCAGGATACTAATATCACAAAAATTTGCAATAATAATTATTTTGTTCATAGCCATTTTATAATAAAAATTTGGAATAAAAAAAAGATAATTGCAGAATATTTTATCCAAAATGTCCAACGAATAATAATAATTGAGATATTTCATTCATAATGATGCATAAGTGATATCTCTGTCCAAAATCGTTTAATCGTCCATCATTGGTCCATCAAACAAAAGCGTCGTGATTGCGAGGATATTGTTAACTGGCGATTCTTTTGGCCATTCACTCGAACGATTATCGTCCCTTCTTTCCCTCCACGACTGGAACAATGAGCGTTTTCCATTTTTTCGATTTCTCCCGCTTTGAATTGGCGCGCGCTCGCCCACGTCCGCTTAAAGGGACTTCCGTCGCCGTTATGGAAATCCGCCAATGCAGTTTGCACGTCTCGAGCCGCACCTGATTAGCATTGAACAGGAACAATACGAACGGCAGAAGCCACTTTCGCGTTTCGTTATTTTCAATCCGTCCCTTTCAATTGACGCGCCTCCATAGGTTAGGTTAGGTTCTTTTACTTTTGTTCTTATAATTGTGGATCGTACAATGTTGTTCAAAAATTTGGAAAAAATATAAAAAGTATCAAAGATTTCGTGTTAAATTTATTTATAAGAACGTTTGTTTGAAAATTTGATAGATAATAAGATATATCTATATTACATTAAAATTAAATATTGAATAGATACAAATTAACATTCTTTTTTTGTTATTTTTAAACAATATTTGAAATATTGTATCTCTCTAATTTTTTTTTATCTAAGATAATTGTCAATCCTAATAAATATTTATTGTAAGGAATTATTTTTGTAATTATTTATAAAAGATTATTTCCAAACTTTTGAACAATAGTCTAAGTATCTTTGAAATTTTTTTCTATTTTATTCGAATAAGTATATTTTT